TTCATCAGTGATTATAAATTGTAATCAGGGGAGGTGGTGAATTGAAGGCACACATTTTGATGTTCTTCAGGTTCAGAAGAATCACTATAGCAGTTAACTAATGAGGAAGCCTAGAAGATGGCCTTACCTTCTGAGTAGAGCTTTTGCTTATAAAACGGCAATATCCTTAGATATTTCATAAAGGCACCTAGTTTGAGGATTTGTGTTGACAAAATAGGTAACTGTATTTATATTTTAAACATTGTTTAATCAGCTGGACTTTTTATTTGGTTGACATCCTACCTGAAGCCCATTCAATGTTTCAGAGTCCATCTAAAAGGTCATGTGATAAATATGTCATGTGAACTGGAGCCCAGTCAGTTGAGATGATGGCCTCTTGAAGTTTGGGGAAACATCATATGATGAGGATATTTGTGGAAAAGTTAGAGCAGAACCATACCAGGACAGAAGGCATCATCAACCCAAATCTATGTACCGATGATTCTGTAGGTAGGAAGAGCTTTATTTGGCAGCAATCTCTCATTTTGTTAATTCTCAAGTGTAACCATCCTTAGCTGCATAGACACACTTCTTAGATGTCTAATGCACAGGATCCCGCACATGTGTGAAAAAGAAGAATACATAGAATCATGGAATTGGAAGGGACCCCAAGGGTCATCTAGTCCAACCTTACAATGTAGGAATCTCAGCTAAAGCACCCATGACAGATGACCATCCAACCTCTGCTTAAAAACCTCCAAGGAAGGAAAGTTCACCACCTCTCGTGGGAGTTTGTTCCGCTGCTGAACAGCTCTTGCTGTCAGATTTTTCGAATGTTTAGTCAGAATCTCCTTTCTTGCAACTTGAAACCATTGTTCGGGTCCTACCCTCCAGAGTCAGAGAAAACAAGCATGCTCCTTCCTCCATGTGACAGCCCTTAAGATATTTGAAGATGGCCATCACATCTCCTCTCAGTCTCCTCTTTTGCAAGCTAAACATTCCCAGCCCCTCCAGGCGCTCCTCATAAGGCTTAGTTTCCAGACCCTTGATCATTTTGGTTGCCCACCTCTGCACATATTCCAGCTTGTCAACACCCTCCTTAAAATGTGGTGCCCAGAACTGGACACAGTATTCCAAGTGTGGTCTGGCTAAGGCAGAAGAGAGTGGTACTATTCCTTCCCTTGACCAGGACACTATATTTCTGTTGATGCAGCCTAGAATAGCATAAGCTTTTTTTTGCTGCTGCACCACACTGTTGGCTCATGTTAAGCTTGTGGTCCACCAAAACCCCTAGATCCTTCTCAAATGCACTGCTAGTAAGCCAGGTGGCTCCCATTGATAGGGTTGCCATACTGTTCTACAACTGTACCGATACCAAGAAGGGTAGAAAGAAGCTATTTGGTAAGAGGAAACCTGCAGAAATAACTCTGCCAATGAAGGTTGCTATCAAGCAGCGTGGAAAGAGGACGGTCTGCTAGGATGGTCAAGTCTCTGGCCAGAGACAGTACTGAAGGCCAGCTCTTCTTCCCCCCAAAACTGGGGTTGGCATAAGATTGATGGTGGACTGGGTGAAGTCCTCTGGTTTATAATCCTTGAAGCTTCTCAAACTTGCTATAAGCTGATCTCTTGAGGCTGCATGAAAGGATAACACAAGCGCAGAAGGGCTCCACTGATTCTTCAGAGGGGGAACACTCTACCAATCTGAAAAGTAAGCCCCGCCAGCCACCCCCCAAATCGTTGTGCTTTTCTCCCCATCCTCATTTTGTTTTTTTTCCCGCTCCCCCAGAAGTTTGCTGGAAAAGTTCCGTTTGGAATTTTTGTCTCGGGACTATACAATCAATGGAAGTGACAAGGCTGGTTCAAAATTAGCCTTGCTAGCATTCAAAACGGCATTTTGGGTGCTGTATGGTGCCACTGTGTTTGTGCACAAACATTTGCACACGTATGTGTGGACTAGAGACAAGGTGCATCCGCTCACTCACTTGGTGGTGCATTTATTTTCTGGAAGCTAAACCATGAAGTCTGGCAAGGGCTGTAGCAGTTCGCACCGATGCACCAGAAAATAACGGCTGGGACAGTGTGATAAAACCAGCTCCACGCAGGTGTTCAAACTCATGCATTGACTCAATGCATGATGTGGGAGTAGGACTGCCCCCACTAGCCCCCCCCGCTGTAGCGCACCCCGTTTCCGTGTTGACATGGACATGTGCAAAAAAGAGCCTTCACATGTACAGCTGCGTGCATGAAGGCTTATGTGCAATCAGGAAACCCACAAAAACCAAGTTCCCCATTGTGTGGAGGCCTTTGCATGTATCACAGTACATGTGACACCTTTCTTTGCAGACAATAGGTAGGCTGGTGTAGCACACAGCTTTGACAACAGGCCTAGCTGCGGCCCGGCTCATATCCAATATTTAAAAAATGCTTTCTTGGGTTTCAGAAAACAGAACATCTTTAGGTATTTGGTCAAAACTAGAAATTTGCCAAGTGTATTACTCTTGCAACAGCATAGCAAAACCTTTGTACAAGGCAGCCTCTTACTCCACCGTCACTTCAGACTCCTCCACCTTCTGCGTTGTGAAATAGTGTGAAATATTTGAAAACATGCATGTACAGCTGAGGAATATATTAACATGTTAAAAAGCTGGAAAGCTTTTTTCAAGTTTTTCAATTCCTTTCATTTTCTATCTCTGGTGTATAAAGCACAGTTTACATTTTGAAGTCACGGGTCTCTCATTATGCTAGTATTTTCAAGAATATGTTATTCAATGAAATGGAGTGAAATACAACTAAAACAAAAGTTCAGGATCCATTTTCCATTGCTATTGTGACACTTGTGTGTTTGGCCTCATGCATCAGATATACACTGAGCATGTGCATGCATGCGCACACTAATTTATCCATGCATCTATGCATACTTTTCCACCTGTGCATATACACATCACACATTCCCACCCATGCGTACACACACAAGCACATCTTGATCTCTCTGCTGGACAGACTCAAGCTGTGCCCCCATCAACTGGTGCACAATTGCGGTGCCAACGTCTGCTGCCAGCCTACCCAAATGCAGACAGCACCCTGTTCCAGCTGCTGCCACTATGGTTTGCATTGCCACACCCACTGATGATGGCAAGCTGCTGGCGAGCTTGCCTCTGGAGACACATGGCTCTGCTGGCAAACATCCCTTGCTGCCATCGTAATACTCCTCTTCCTCCTCTCTTTCCAGACCAAATGGACGGAGGTGAGGTAATGTAATGGTACAACAGAGGGGGCAAGTTGAGAGATGATTTGGTGGAGGAATGCAGTGTCTCTTCATCTTACCTTACCTTTCCCTTACCTTTCCCGCCCCAACCTGGCCACAGTGATCCATGCGACGGTCACCTCCAGGCTTGACTACTGTAATTCGCTCTATGCGGGGCTGCCCTTGAAACTGTCCCAGAAACTCCAGCGGGTGCAGAATGCAGCAGCAAGGCTCCTCACAGGGTCTCTGCCATGGGAGCATATTCACCCAGTGCTTTTCCAGCTGCACTGGCTCCCGGTGGAGTACAGGGTCAGATTTAAGGTGCTGCTTTTGACCTTTAAAGCCCTTCACAGCCTAGGAGCCTCGTACCTACAAGACCGCCTCTCCTGGTATGCCCCATGGAGAGCCTCAAGGTCCTTAAATAGCAACACCCTAGTGGTCCCGGGCCCTAAGGAAGTTAGATTAGCTTCAACCAGAGCCAGGGACTTTTCAATACTGGCTCCTGCCTGGTGGAACGCTCTGTCTCATGAGACCAGGGCCCTGCAGGATCTGATTTCTTTCCGCAGGGCCTGTAAGACAGAGTTGTTCCGCCTGGCCTTTGGCTTGGAGCCAATTTGATTCCCTCCCCCTCTTTCTTTTTCCTTTTTCCTTTCTCCTCCTGTGATGAGGCTGCATTTTAATATTTCAATATTTTAATTGTTGTATTTTAATCTTGTATTTCCATTTCTGGTTGGGACGGGCCCATGTCAGCTTTGGCATGTGGTCCAGAGAACGATTAGCGAGTCCAGAGGTCTGGCAAAACGGTTGACTAGGGCATAAGGGCCACCCTCTCTCAGATTGATGCCATGAACCTGAGCTTTTCTGCGATATGTGTCCTTTACATATTTCTCTTGTGTTTCTGTTTGAAAGTAAGATCCCCGAATCGGGGATAGAAAAGGGGAGCGCCTGTTTTACATTATGTTTTTATTTCCGTTATATGAGGGCATGCAGTTTTGTCAAGAAAGATTGCCAAGTACGTGCAAAGTCCCCCTTCCAACCCCTGAAAGAAGTCGTTCAAACAAAGGCCTAGAAGCAGTGTGTCCAAACTCACGTTCAAATTGTGTTTGTAGTCACTTTGCTCAGCTTTCACAGTGCACCCAAGTAAATGGAAATTGCAGACACCCTTATGATGCCTTTGTGCAATCATATGCACTAGGACAGCTCACACATGCACACAAACAGCAAAAAACATTTTCTGGTTCTGTCGTCTGCCTTTGCGCCCTCCATTTCTGGGAATCAGCAAAGGTGGTAAAATTTTGTTCAGGCCAGTAAAATGCTTCCGATACACAATCACCAGCTCTTCTGGAGCTGGGACAAAATGCAAGTTTCCCTAATGAGAAAACCATTAGATGTGCAAGGAAAATAATACTCTTCAAAGGTGGCTTGTGTCTGGTTTGTTGTTATCATTGCTACCAAATGCCTTATACATGAACATTTCACTTTCTCGTGCAGATGTCTTTAAAGGCTGGTTTTGTCTGTGACGGAAAACTTCTTAATAGCCCTCTGTCCTCAGCATCCTTACTAAGCAGCAAGTCACACTGAACACAGCAGGACTTACTTCTGAGTCAATCTGCTTGGGAGTGTGTTGCAATTTTTCTTTTCATCGCCTTTCACAATCAAAAACTTCCTAGGGTCTTTACCAAAAATGCTGTGAAAGTATTCATAATGTAATATAACTGTAAGATTTCTGGCGTTACACAGTAGTCCTGCAAACAGAATGACTTAAATCTTGAGGCAATTAAATCGTTTGCTTGATTTTATTTAGAATGTGTCCAACACAATTCTCCATTTGGGTTCCACATTTCAAACTCACCCTTTGTAGTCTTAGGAACATTATATGAAGTCTTAAAAACTTGTTTGATAGAAGAGGGGAATGTGAATTCTTAGTGACCCTGCTGGACATTTATATGTTAACTGATTCTCTCTGACATGGGACTCAAAAGTACTAATCTATTATGTTGGGTGGGTAGGGAAATCCAGGCATACAAATAGTCACAGAAATGCCTTAGGTCTTAAAAATTCTGACTTTGCTTTTGTACTTGGACCATCATTTCGAACCTAATACCATACACTTAAGCTTAACTCTTCTGCATTTTGTCTATCTTTCTTGTTCAACCGTTGCAGAAGCGGACAGTTAAATACACTGTTCCAAAAGTACCTTGTCCTATTGGGAAGAGGAAAACCATTTGGCTCCTCACAGCCCCTTGACTTGGGTTCATCTGGTGTCAAAGCCTTCATATGATCACATTGCTTTTATTGGTGAACAACAGCACACCACAATATCACCATAGCTAGCACATTTTGACCAACTGGGTGCTTTTGCTTTTTTTGTTTTTAACACTAGAGCGTCTGTCTTTGCTAGAATTTCTTTTTTTCTTTTTTTTTAATGAACCAAAGGTCATATTACAGAGCACAAATGAGGTCTAAAATTTAGCCACAGCAGACCACAGCTCCACAGGAAAAAAGAAAACACATCTTCAATTTAGGTTGACCTGCTTGAAAACATAGATTAAAAACAGCACAGCAAACATGGCTCTGCAATGCACTGCTTCCTTATTTAAATATTAACTGCTTCGTTTTACATGGAAATGAACTAAGCAACGATGGATGGGATTTCCAGAACCGCCCGGTTGGTTTTGCTGTGCCATGGGGGGGCGGGGGGGAGAGAAGCGGGCGACAAGTGTGGCTCAGATGGAAGAAGAGGGCAGGGGTGGGGGACGGGGGCAAGTGATACAATCTCAACATCTGCGCTAAAGTGACTTGTTAATGATCAACCGATCATTCGCCAGTTTCAAAATATAATCTTATACAACATTTCCCCTCCCTCCCTCTGTAAACAGATCTGTTCATAAATAATTTGGACGTCTCCATGACATTCATGATATCTAACAGAAGCTGAAGTAGAAAAAGGATGGATGTGGTATACAGCATTGAGGAAATGTCAAAAGAGTACTTCATCGTTGTCGTGTTGTTTTGTTTAGCGTCTGATGGGCGGGTTGCACGTAGCATCAGCCATCGGACACAGGGGGGGTCACCCACCCGTATTTTTCATGGGTCTTCACCAAGCTCTTAAATGTTGCTTCGGCCTCCTTGCGGCTGAAGGACTTTTTTGATTTACCAGCTTTTCTGCAGATGCGTCCCTGTGTAAAAGAAAAGAAACGGGGGGGGGGAGAGAAGAAAGGTGTGTTCAGTACCCCAATGCAGATGCAAGCATTAAATAAATCCCTCCTAGCAACACGAATTCATCAGCCCTCTTCAGTAAGAACATATCCATGGGCTCTCACAGATGTGTGGGTCAAGCTTCCTTCCTGGATGACAATGCATGAGTTGGCCACAACTCCAGCTAAGGCATGACTGATACAAGTTTCTTATGTGCACAGGAGACAATTCCAGATTGATCAGAGTACGTGTCTTCATGGAAGTAGTCCTGACACATACCGTATTTTTCGCTCTATAGGACGCACCGGACCATAGGAAGCACCGGACCATAGGAGGGGGAGAACAGGGAAATTTGTTTTTCTTGTTCTCCCCCTGTAAAACAAGGAGTTCCCGCTGCGCTTTGGAGGCTTCAGGCAGCTACCTTGGAAGCCTGGAGAGCGAGAGGGGTCAGTGTGTACTGACCCCTCTCGCTCTCCAGGCTTCAGTGAAGGCAACCTGAAGCCTCTGGATCGCGGCAGGAGTTCCCTCTGGGCTCTGGAGGCTTCAGGTTCCTTTTGACCTGCTCTTTGGGGCTGGCAGGGGGAAGCACTGCTTTCCCCCACCGCCAGCCTCAAAGACCAGGTTGGGGAGCAGCGCGAAGGCAGCCAGCCGCCTTCCCGCTGCCCCCCGAGCTTGTGGGGCTGGCGGTGGGGAGAAGCGCTGCTTTCCCCCACCGCCAGCCTCAAAGACCCCTGAAGCCTTTGGAGCGCAGTGCGAGTTCCCGCGGCACTCCAAAGGCTTCAGGCGTCGGGGACAGCCTTTGGAGGCTCCGCAGGGCAGCGGGGTGCCTTCACCCCGCTGCCCTGAGGAGGCTTTGCGCAGCTAACCCCAAGCTAGACGAGCGAGACAGAGCGCTCTGCAGTGCTCCGTCTCCCTGTTCTGGCTTTGGGCTTAGCCGTGCAGCCTGCATTCGCTCTATAGGACGCACACACATTTCCCCTTAATTTTTGGAGGGGGAAAAGTGTGTCCTATAGAGCGAAAAATACGGTACATCTGTATGCATCAAGACTGAGTTTCATCCCTTGTTGCTTAGGGGGCATGGCTGGCGTGCACACCAGCATCTAGGGAATGGGACTATAGGCAGGCACATTCCAGACAGACCCTTCACACAATCAGTACCTATGGGTACCTGATGCCTGAACTGGGCTATGGTGCTCCTAAGTATTTATGTACCTTTGAGGTCAAAGCCAGGTTTGGATAATCAACCAAGACCTGACCCACTGCTATTGTTATAGATGAGTGAAGCATCATATTAAAGCGCAGAATATGCAAACCTTAAAAAAAGTGGATTTTGCCCCTAAAAAATAGTTAGTTCTGACAAACAAAAAAACAATTCTTGTAAATGCAGACTCCGATTTAGCTTTGAAGGACTTCAAGCAGCCTTCCATATTCCTAAAACAAGGACTTTTTTTGTTGTCAAGCTGTAGGAAAGTCTACAGCAGGCTCCCCCAAACTCAGCCCGTCAGCTGTTTTGGGACTACAATTCCCATTACCCCGACCACTGGTCCTGTTAGCTAGGGATGATGGGAGTTGTAGTCCCCAAACAGCTGGAGGGCCAAGTTAGGGGGTGCCTGGTCTAGAGAGAGGACCCCCTCTTTGCATAACAGAACATGGCAATGACATAATATACTTATTGCAACCTGAGTATGAGTATCAGAAGAAGAGTGTGCCATGTAATACGGGAGAAGCAGCAAACGTGTATTATTCCAGGTTTACGTATCAGGAATCGGATACATATATATCAGTATCCCCACACAGAAAATGAAACCAAAGCCACCATTCATAAATTGCTTAGTTGTGTGTTTTCTTGGACACAAACAGTAGCACTCACAAATTAAAACGTAGTATGTAAAGTCGCTCTAAGAGACTTGGCACACCTGTTGTGCAGAGACAGTCAAAGCAGCATTTTATTATCCCACAAATGAATAAATTTTTATTATCTTGATAAACAAAAAACAAGGGGCTTTTCTCATTTTACTTCCAGGCTGAAATACTTTGCAGAAGACCCTCATTCTTCCAATATATTTCCAAACTATGTAGGTGAAATTTGGCTAAAGATTTTGAAGCCCTGACGAATGTACAATTCCCCCTCCCATTCTCCCCCAGTAACGAGAAATGAAATAGAAATGTTAGGGGAAATTGAAATATATGTGACAGTTATTGTCTTACCAATTCTAGACATACACTTAGTACTTCAAGATCATGAAATGAATTATAAAAATGTGAGAAAATCCTGCAGCCTCAGACTTGGGCCCCCTCAAATCCATCTTCCTGTTCCCACAGTGATGAACCAAATGCCTTTGAGAAGTTGCAGAGCAGGAGCTAAGCATGTCAACAGTTTCCCCATTTTGACAGGGTAAAGTGCAGCTGAACAAAAATTTTAAAATCCTGTCTTAAAAGCATTTTCTCTAAAGGAGAAAACAGTTAATTTTTTTTAAAACCCTCAAGTCCATTTCCCCCCCACTGAAAAAATAAAAAACTATTTAAACTCCTCCTCTAATTTTCCTTAGGCCTGCACATCTGTAATCCTTGATTTCCTTTTGCCCTCTCCCATCCATCCGATCGTATTTTTCGCTCCATAAGACGCACCTGACCATAAGACACACGTAGTTTTCAGAGGAAAACAAGAAAAAAATATTCTGAATGAAACAGTGGGTGTATGATTTTTGTGGTTCATGCTGTGGCCACAGACATGTGATTTTACGGTGAGTTTGGGGTAGCTCGATGCAAAAAATCCTGAGGATCCATGTGGATCCGTGCTTTGTAACCACACTTTTGTGCCATTGCGGCCCCACGTAATAGTGGATGTGTGGTTTTTTTGGTGCAGGCTGTAGCCATGGACATGCTATGTGATCTGATGGTGAATTTGGGGTGACCCAATGCAAAATTCCTGAGGATCCATGGGCTTTTACCTCCCCCCTCCCAGGCAGCCTCCTTTATTGCTAGCATCCCTTATCTCTCTCCCCGATCGCTTGCCGATCAGCTGCTTCCTTTCAACACTCCCTTCCCTCTTGTTTGCCTTAGTGTCTTTTCCTTAGCTGGAGCAGTTTTTTGCTCCTCCTTTTCTTCAAATTTCTCTCCTCATTGCTTTAGTCTTCCTGTCTCCTCTCCTTGCAAGTTCGCTGTCTTTACATCCCCCCTCCCAGGCAGCCTCCTTTATTACTAGCGTCCCTTATCTCCCTCCCTGATCGCTTGCCCATTAGCGGCTTTGTTTCAACACCCACTTCCCTCTTTTTTAAAAAAAGAGCATGATCTGCTTTTCGCCCCTGGGCAATTCGGATCCAGGGACCACACATTCACTCCATAAGACACACATTTCCCCTTACTTTTTAGGAAGAAAAAAGTGCATCTTATGGAGCGAAAAATACAGTATCTTGGTTCTGCCCATGGAGGGGCACAACCTCCGTCCTAACCTAACTCCTGCGAGAAGCTACAGGGAACCAGGCAGAGGGCGTTCTTGGTAGTGGCACCCGCCCTGTGGAACGCCCTTCCATCAGATGTCAAGGAAATAAACAACTACTTGACTTTTAGAAGACATCTGAAGGCAGCCCTGTTTAGGGAATTTTTCAATGTCTGATGTTTTATTGCTTTATTATTATTATTATTATTATTATTATTATTATTATTATTCTGTTGGGAGCTGCCCAGAGTGGCTGGGGAAACTCAGCCACATGGGCGGGGGTATAAACAAATAAACAAATAATTATTATTACAGTCTGGGGGGTGAAAGTGTTAGAAGACAATCACCTCTTTTGCCCTCTCCTCACTTGAAGGTGAATCCCAGTTCAAGGGGAAAGGAGGCATCTTCAATTATTGCGCTGCCTTTCTCAAGCTTTGGGCTTGAAAATAGTCAAATGGAAGATGCTGCGATGTGAACATTAAAAAATAATAACAACAGTAGCAGCCCAAAAGCTCTCATTCTGGCAGGGGAGAATTTTGGACGTTAGAAATGAACTCAGTGAATTCACCATTCCATCCCCCTGCAGGCATATGGAGTTTTTTAAAAAATATTTTTTATCCTCCACTAAATGGGAGACTTAATGTAAAAGGCTGCCCACATTTGGAAGGATGCCTGAAGAGGCTTTTGTCCTTTGCATCTCCTTCGCCTCAACAGGCAAACTAAGGGCAGTCCTAACTACATCCACTGTGATGTGCAAGCTCAATCGATTATACTGGTGTGCTGTTTTTCAGGGGAAGTTTGTTGCTTTTGTTTTTTCATCTTTATTTTCGATTGTGCAATTTATGTGGAAATGGTTCAGTTTGGCTGTGCATTGTTTGAACTATGGAAAGGTGGCAGACAGACAAAATTATGCATATATGTATGTGTAGAAGAAGAAGAAGAAGAGTTTGGATTTGATATCCCGCTTTATCACTACCCGAAGAAGTCTCAAAGCGGCTAACATTCTCCTTTCCCTTCCTCCCCCACAACAAACACTCTGTGAGGTGAGTGGGGCTGAGAGACTTCAGAGAAGTGTGACTAGCCCAAGGTCACCCAGCAGCTGCATGTGGAGGAGCGGAGACTCGAACCCGGTTCACCAGATTACGAGTCTACCGCTCTTAACCACAAACTCTTGAAATGCCTAAGTGTTACTGCCCCGTCCCGTCTTAGCCATGCTGGCGTCCGCTCTGTAAATTCCTGCCCCCAAACACCTGCCAAGTTGCAAAGATTCGAGGGCATCTAAAGCTACAACAATCTGTACACTTTCTTTTGAGTAAGTTCCACTGAAAGAGACTTGGGACAAAATCCTATACAGTGGTACCTCAGGTTAGGAACTTAATTCGTTCTGAAACTGTTCTTAACCTGAGGTACCACTTTAGCTAATGGGCCTCGCGCCGCCGCCGCGCGATTTCTGTTCTCATCCTAAAGCAAAGTTCTTAACCTGAGGTACTATTTCTGGGATAGCGGAGTCTGTAACCTGAAGCGTCTGTAACTTGAGGTACC